CTCAGGACCTTTGGAAGAGCAGTCAGTGCTCTTAACCACTGAGCCATCTCTCCAGCCCCGAGTGTACATTTTTTATAGTCTAATTTAATGACACTCAAATTCCTATGTTAGTAGTCTTGTGAGAAAGGGGTTCACAGGATATGACACAATAACCTTAGGTTGCTTCATACACTGGTTTCTTCCTCTTCCTGTAAGTTTCTAAACAAGTGCCTGAGCCCTGGATGAGCAACAAGAGAAAAGAGAAAACAGGCAGCAAGCACTTACTCCAGGGGCACTACCTGCCAGCCAGTTTCCTCCACAGTGTGAAGAAGGTACAACCACTCCCAGCACAATGGACCCTGAGATTCAGGCTCTCTATGTTACATCTCTAACTGATGAGCAGGACAATCCACTCCATCCACAATTCTGCTCAACAGAGCACGATGCAGACATTTGTCATCACACTCGCCCAAGTCCTCAAGCCCCAAACTCAAACATTCTCACTGAGCAAGGAATATGCAATTTCCAACATGCTCCAGTTTCCAAGCACCTAGGACCACAAATAAATCTGAGTACATTTGTGCTTTTGAAGTAGCCTGCAATGCCACTTTGTCATAACATGATGAAAAACTCTAAAACCACAAGGGCAGGAAATGAGCACTGCCTTTGTAACTTAACCACACCTACATTTCCCATTTGAAACACGAAGAAAACAATTTCTGACTACTTCCTATAGCTCAGTCGGTTTTGAAGTTCCGGCTTAAGCCACAAATGTGATTCCAAAAGCAGGCTGGTGTTATGAGATGACAAACATTTAATCACATTTGCATGCTCACAGTTAAAGTAAATATGACATCTTCTTCTGGTACGCGCGCACGCGCACACACACACACACACACACACACACACACACACACACACACACACAACACACAACACACAATACACACACACATAAAAAAAAAACTTTAAAAGCATAAGTCATGAAAAATAAAGTTTAATTTAGGAAAAATAAAACTATCAATGAGACAATATCCTAGCATTTAAAGGAGCCAGAAGAATTCCTAAGCATTGTGCTACCAGATGGTAGGCTGTCATGCAGGAAGGTAGGTAAAAGGCCTTTAGCTGTCCAAGGTCACAATAGTCCAGTGGCAGCAGCATTATTTCTTCTCATCATCATCACTTTGACCATTAGGATGTTTAACATAGATTGTAACACTGTGTCTATGTTTTAGACACATGACTTCCAAAATCCTAACCCTCCTGCAAAATATCCATTATGTAGGAAGACATGTGACAGCCTAGCACCTGACCAAATGGAATCCTTGAAGCAGAAGAGGCATTTAAACTCCCCACAGCACTGTCCCACCTACTGGTACAAATAATCTCCAAAAGCCTATACCTTCAATGTTAGCAATCTCCTCAGTAGTGTCATACCCACCACATCTCTGTTTCTACTGTGCTTTTAAAGAGCTTTTTCATGCTAACCACTTTTCCAAGTTGTCCTCAACTAAACTGTAAAATACAAAAGAATCTCTATCACCAAATAGAAGAGTAGGGTACAATCCCAGAACCAAAGGGCTTACCTGTTTGGTATATAAGAAAAACATTCTGTTGAAATGGCTTGTCTTTGAAGAATCTCATTCAAAAACACAATTGTCAAAGTCAGTAACCTCTCCGGACCTACTATTGTGTAATAAGCTTTCTGCTGCATAAACATACTCTCTACTCCTAACTGCATTTGAGCTGACACTAGAGTTATTCGGCAATCAAAAAGTGTTTGCAAACAAAAGAACAAATGTTTAAATTTGCAGTGTCAGTATTCTGTTAAAATTTAAAAATCCACAAAACCTTAGAAATGAAGAGTTCAGAGGTCTAGTACAATCTCTCTACCCAGAAGAGAATATCCACCTCTTTCCATTTAGCATAACTCTGGATAGGGTGTTTGTTCATTGCTTCCACCACTATTACGGTTTGAAGTATGTTGCAATGACTCATACCCAGAAGATATGAGAGGTGATGGCTGGGGGTGGCATTGCCTGGAAGTTCTTGGCCTGCCCCTTCCCTGGCCACTATGACGTGATCAATCTTGCTCCACCCAGATTTCCTACCACAATGCTCTGCCTCACCATGGCCCAGAAACAAAAGCACCAAGTGACCATGGACGGAAACCTCTAAATCATGAGCCAAAATAAGCCTTCTCTCCTTTAAGCAGTTTTTACTTGGGGACTTTACTACAGTGGCAGTTGACCAGCACAACTACACTAGCACCATTTACTAACCACTTACAGCATGCCAGACATCCCAAATGTGACTTAACAGCTTAACAACTGTCACCATCAGCAAAAGCAAAGAAAAAGGCTTCCAGAGAGAAGTTTCCTAAACACAACCAAGCACAAACTGCAGAAACAAAACCTAAACACAAAAAAACACAAGCTGCTCCAGAGGCCGTGTCCTGGTGACCAGAGAGACTACTCTCATCAGTACTGTGCTGACTGACACAGAAGCTAAAGCCAAACCACACACTGCCTGCAGCCTCTCAACTGAGTAAGCAGAATAGCACCTGGAGCTGGACCCATCTATGAATCCCTAGAATCAGGTTGGCACAATGGTCTCCTGTTACAAAGGAAAACAAAGGGAAGCTGCCATCTTTGGGCCAACCTGTCCCATGTGTAATAGAACACAGCTACATATGAGAATATATAAAATACTATGGTTTATACTGTTAAGAAAAGCTGCCATTTAACCTTTTCTGTGTCACTATTTGCTAGCATGCTAAACTCACAAATTTCCCTCTTCCTCTCTCTGATCTATGGCATAACAATTATACTGGGCAGGAAAAATTCCTTCTGCCTGTAAAACAAGCAACACACTCACCACTTTCTGTATTTAAAAACTATCATTAAGAACTGGCCCCTAGGGGGCTGGAGAGATGGCTCAGAGGTTAAGAGCACTGACTGCTCTTCCAGAGGTCCTGAGTTCAATTCCCAGAAACCACATGGTGGCTCACAACCATCTGTAATGAGATCTGGTGCCCTCTTCTGGCCTGTAGGCATACATTCAGGCAGAATACTGCATATATAATAAATACATACATACATACATACAATCTTTGGGGGGGGGGAGAACTGGTCCTAGTAGAGCACACCTTTAATCCCAGAACTCAAAAAGCAGAGGCAGGCAAACCTCTGTGAGTTCGAGGATGGCCTAGTCTACATAGTCAGTTTCAGTAACTTTCAGACAGGGCTACATAGTGAGACCCTATCTAAAAGCAAACAAGAAAAAAAGTAATAAATGCTAAGCATGGTGGCATGTGACATAATTCCCAGGACTGAGAGGCAGAAGCAGGCAGTTAAGGCCAGTGAGAGATCTATATTGAGACCTTGTCTCAAAAAACTAAAACAGTAGGAATAGTAGTAGTAGTAAAGTAGCTGTAATTCTAATGCTGTCACCTTGACAGGATCCAGAATCACCTAAGAGACAAGCCACTGTGCATGGCTATAAAGAAGTTTCTCAAGTGGGCTAATGGGGTAAGAAGGCCCACTCTAACTTCCAGGGACAGAGTTCCAGACTGAATAAAGACAAAGCTGAGCGTTAGCATTCCCCCCCCCCTCCTCTGGATACAAAATGACTAACTGAGGCGGTGGTGGCACACGCCTTTAATCCCAGCACTCGGGAGGCAGAGGCAG